AGGGGAGTTTAAATGTGTTCCAGCCAAGAGACACTTTGCTAATGTAATGCGCTTAAAATCGGAACGCATTCCCAGTAATGTGGAACTAGAATGTAAGTATTTCACCTAATTCTGTTTTGCTACGTGTCATTCCAAATAAAGCCATTCCAAATTAGCTCCTCTTTAGAGGCCATATTGTCATTTAACAAGATTGTAACACTGTCTTTTCTTTTACAGACTTGGAAAGTTGGGGACCATCACAGGAACAAATGTGCGGAAAACACAACGATAACAATCCACGGAAAGAAACTAATATTCCTTTACGGAACAAGAAAATCTATATGTATTATGGATTGATACATGTGTCACAAAACAAAACAATTTTCAAACCTGAAGAATACCTTTTGAGGCAAGGGCAAAATACGTTTTTTTCTGTCTTCAGTGTGAAATTCATTTTTTATGAACTCTTGAGAATATCCATGAACAAAACCTGTATTGAGATTTGGCGACGAGGAGCTAGGTCTGCTTTTCTTCCCTATCCATCTACCTTGAACACTGAACTGGAGATGGATGTCGGTATTTTGTTTTACCCCATGAAGAAAAAACTGTCGGCTTTTGTTCTTAGACTTAGGAATGACAAGTTCACAAGCTTCGACTATCAAAAGACCCACGTTGACATAGCTCTATCATTACACCAGTCCTTCTGTTTGATGCCTCCACCAAGCGTTGCCATTAAGATCTCGTTTGGAATGGGCATTTCTACTAAAATACTACCATTTGAAGAATCTAAGCAGTATATGGTGATTTGGGAAAATGCCTTAAATTCATTTGTTCATTAGAGTATGCCCAGACTGACATGAGAAGAATTTTAAGAATAATGGAAAAAATACTTTTTGTCGACTGTTAACATTCAGTTCGGGGGAGGTACAAGAAGAGTTGTTGCACCTTCTCAAATTTTCATCCCGTTAAGGTGGACAAATAAACCACAAAGCAACATGGTTAACATGTGGAAGAAAATATTCAAACAAACATCTTCGAAATAAATGTTTAAAATAAAAAAAGTGTCATTAATATATATGGCAGATGTAGAAAGTCGACAATATATGCACGTGTTACGTTTAGATTCCCAAGTTAAAACTAAAGTTAACTGGAAATCAGTCCCGAACAGGGCCTAGATTTTCGAAGCTCTCTTAGCGCTAAGATAGTCGTAAGTGCCATACATTAACATTAACTTAAAACTATCTTAGCGCTAAGAGAGCTTCGAAAATCTAGGCCCTGAACAACAACAAAAGGTTTGATATAGTTAACATTTGCAATAATTACGTTTACAAACCACTACAAAGGTATTACTTTGCCAGTACTGAATACAAAACAGAGCTGCTGTTACTTCAAAGCTGTATAATGTAAAAGCAGAGATTGTAGCAATAAAGACAGTGTTGGCAATATTCAACGGGCTGCAACAGTGATAAACTATAGATCTAGGCTGAATATCCAGGGTGAAAAATGATCTTCACACATTGCTGGACTTGTGAGGTGAGATATAATGTGAGATGACTGAGGCAAAGGCGCATCCCTAATGTATAGTGTAACTGCTCTGGAACTTTCCATATGATTCTTGGTTGTATTATACTGGGCAGGTTGATGGGTAGCAGCACATTCTCAGTCTAAATATAGCACACCACAAACCCTTTCTGAATGTCATCAGAAACAATGACATGAAATAGAAATATAAATAAATGAATAAAACAATAAATAAATATAAATATGAAACTTCCACATAAGTTGTTTCCCAAAACAAACATACCACCCCACCCCAAAACCTAATGCAAAACTATCAACAAAAACAAAACTACCCCCTGGCTGAGGATGTTTAGAGAAATTTAATCTAAACAGGAATTGTCTGATATTCTTTACATTCTGTGAACACTAGAGCCAATGTCCAGTGAAAATGTACATCTACAAAATAGTTGTTATAACTCGAAGTTCTTAATATGCTTTCGACCATGATACTTAAGGACACACGATTGTGTTTGTTCAAAACAGGTGTCTTAATCCAATGGATGCCACAAAAATAACATATGATCTTGCACACAAAAACCCTGTTTCTGAAAAAATCGACCTCTTGATAGTTTACGTGTCGATAAATAAGACAAAGGCACCAATACCAAATCAGAATTGTTTTTATTCGGTATCTAAACAACAGCTTATCAAACACGATGAAATCTATTTCAGAACATACGCAAAATTAAGTAAAATCATCTACGAAACTTATTCCAAAGCCAAAAAATGGATATCATGAACGTATGTGTTTGAATTGCTTTCTAATAATGGTGATACTAAGTGTCCGCAAAAGGTGAGCGTATTCTGGCCACCTGTTGCACTCATCTCTAACATATGCTCATGTAATATTGTTGTTCACTTGAAAGACACGAGAACAGAAGGTGCAAGTCAAAATAGGGAATTGTATCGGAGATCTTTTTGTCATGCATCAATTGTCATTTTTTACACATTGGCCTGAACCTCTGATGATAGATATGCTACTATATCGCCGATAAACACGTTTTGTAACTGAAGCCTAATGGATCAATAAAAATGAAGTTTTCCTCCAGTTTGTCATGTTGGTTTCTGATGTACAAAGTTGACACAGAATTGAACTTATTTTCTGAGATTCGGAAAAGCCATGCAAATCCATTGCTTTATGACAGTCCACATGGTACTAATTTCACCTGTCTCAGTTAGTTTCTGTGAACATGAATAAAGCCTTATTTAATTGTTTTAAGTATTATGATTAATCAGTGTGGCAGGGATTAACATTAGTTATATTTGAGATTACACATTCTTTGTAAAATAGAAATTTTAGTACTTCTGAAGTTGAGTCCCATCCGGGATTCGAACCCATATTCTCAGAGTCGATCTAACCTATACAGCCACCGTGGCTTACTAAATAGAAGTCTGACAACTGGTAGTCTAGATCACGTACATTGTGTACCCCGGGATTTGAACCCACATATTGAAGACATTTCTAACACAGACGTACACTGAGCACATCGGCCATCTAAATCTTCAGTCCCAACGACTCTCGTGTCCTACAGTGCCGACTACAGGTTAAATAACTAAGACCATACTTCAGGGTGGCCCTGTTGGTTGCGTCCCCGAATAAATCACCACTAATAATAGGGAGCACAATAGCACATAGGGATTGTCCCCTCCGATTTCTAAATATCATGGCAGCCAAGGACAGTGAAAAGTCAAAGTTAGGGGCGGGGAGATTGTGATTCTAAATATACTTTAATTATACTCCGAAACTGTTCCATGACAAAATAAATATGTTCATAATAATCAAAACATTGTGATATATTGGGATACATTATTTGAGAATGGGGTCATTTCATCAGTGAGTTTGAAAATAGCATCTTTTTGGTAATGTTTAACTAGGCAAGGGTGCAAGTACTTAGTTCTGAACTTGAATAATGTTGCTTATGTTTGTCGCTACCTGTGACCCCTTCGCGATACCTTCTGAGATACCTGGGGTATTGGCCTATTTGTGAGTTTGCATTCCACGCGGCAAACAGACTGTTAAAGCGCTCTGGTCGTCATTGTAGAACAGTGAGGTATGACCTGGCTGGGTATATGTCATGTTACCAGGACATTTAGTTGGTTCCTCATGATACTGACATGGCAAATCAGGCCCCAGTAATCAGATATCAAAATCAGAATGGCTTGTCCATTTTAAGTCAGTCTTTAAGAATAACAATATCTTTCAGATTATCCAGAATGAAGATAACTCAAGAGATGACTCACCCCCTATACTCGATGACATAGACAGACAGGTGCTAGACTGCCATATTACAGACAGTGAAATTTTGAATGCCATTAATAGTCTTAAATGTGGTAAATCACCTGGTCTCGATCTGGTTCTTGTGGAAATGTTGAAATGTTCAAGTTCTGAAATTCTGCCATTTCTTAGTAAATGTTTTAACAAAATATTCAATGATGGCTACTTTCCAGAAGTCTGGTCACGCTCAATTATTGTCCCAGTTCATAAAAAGGGAGATGTAAACAACCCAGACAACTACAGAGGTATATCATTAATGAGTATTTTAGGTAAAGCTTTCAATAATAGACTTACACTGTGGGCAAAAATTGCACGATAAAATTCCCGAATGTCAAGCAGGATTCAGGAAGTCTTATTCCACATCAGACCATATTTTCACCATATATGCAATTATTCAGAAATGTTTATCTCGACGCAAATCTAAATTGTATGTCGCATTTGTTGATTTTAAAAGGGCGTTCGACTCAGTTGATCGTTCCAAACTATGGTTTTAGTCTTAGAAATGCAGGCCTGGGAGGCAAAATGTACACCATGCTTACGTCATTGTATTCAAATATCAAATCATGTGTACGCAGTCAAGGTGGTTTATCTGATTTTTTTGATTGTCCAGTCGGTTTAAGACAAGGATGTATTATGAGCCCTATCCTGTTCTCTTTCTTCATAAACGAGTTATATAATGATATTTCGCTGCAAGGTAAGCATGGTGTCCAGTTATTTTCCGACATTATTGAAATATTTATGTTACTTTTTACAGACGATGTAATTCTAGTATCTACCTCAATTATTGGGTTACAAAACCAACTAAACATACTAGAAAGATATTTTTCAGAATGGTCGCTATCAGTAAATCTTGAAAAGACTAATATTGTTGTATTTAGAAAAGGTGGTCCCCTCTCTTCGAAGGGAAAGTGGTGTTTTAATTCTAAACCCGTTAATGTCGTAAATCATTATAAATACCTCGGTGTAAAGCTTTTCTTTACTATGAACTGGACACATTGTGCTGCAGATTTAGCTCTCAGAGCTAAGAAAGCACTGTTATACCTCATGTCCGTTTATAACAACGTTGGTTTCCTTACCCACAACGTGTTTTTCAAATTATTTGATGTACAAATTCAGCCTATTCTTTTGTACGGTGCCGAAATATGGGGCTTCCAACCTTTCCAAGCGCTTGAAAAGATACACTTACTGGCCTGCAAGAAAGTTTTAGGCGTTACACAATCTACCCCTAACGACATGGTATATGGAGAATGTGGGAGATTTCCAGTTTTCATTAATGCTCAAATTAGATGCTTAAAATACTGGCTAAAGATAGTACAAATGCATGATCATCGTCTCCCGAAAATTTCCTACAATATGCTTCTACATTTAGACAGTAACGGCAAAGAAACTTGGGCGTCCCATATAAGGAACCTTCTTTGTTCTAAAGGTTTTGGTATCGTCTGGTTAAACCAAGGCGTAGGTAATGTCAATGTTTTCCTGAACCAGTTTAGAGATCGATGTATATGTATTTTTCAACAAGAATGGCACTCGAGGTTAGAAGAAAGCTCCCGTTTTGATTGTTACAGACAGTTTAAGTCCCTTTTAGAACCAGAAAGATATTTATCCCTCGTGACTACAAAGAATCTGAGACTGCTACTTGTAAAATTTAGATTGGGGCTATTAGATTTAAAAGTAAATGAAGGAAGAAGACTATCCATTGATAGAAATTATAGATCATGTCCATTTTGTAAGAAAGGCATTGACGACGAATTACATTTTTTTGTTGAATGTCCAGCCTATGATAAAATCCGTTCTGATTATCTCCGTAACTGTATTACAATCAGAAGTAATAATGCAGCATTTTACAAAATTGTTTCCTCATGCGATGTCTCCATTTTAAAAAGATTATCACTGTATATCCATCATGCTATTATGTTAAGAAAAAATTGTTATCCTCCTAAATAAGAACGTTCTTTGTAACCGCTGTATATGGGCCGGTGGCCTTACATACAAATAAACATATTTTGACTTTGACTTTTGACAGCTGGTTTCCTGCCACAACTCGATTATCTCCCACACTCACTCACCCACTCTCTCAATTAGGGCGATGATAATCTTTAGATGTTTTTTCCGCTGAATTATTGATGAGATTTGTTAAGATATTTCTTGCTTCCCACAAGACCGTGGGAACCCAAATTCATATCGACAATGTAACCCCCTTTGGGATTCGGCTGAGAATAGATCTTCATTTTACAACGTCACACAGCTAGAATATTGGTGACTGCAAGGACGTACAGACCATTTCCTCTTTAAACGTCATTACAACAACTACGATGGATCTCATCCCTGTGTACGTTACTTACTTATCTATAACACTGACCCTTTCTGACAGTGACACTTTTGAAAATCACAGAATTATGGCAGGAGGGTATATTTATCCCGACCGCCTGGGATTTCTTCAGTGTAAGAGACTGTGCTGCAGATACGGTGGCTGCGGTGCCGTCAGTTACATCAAAGAACACTGCTTGTGTGAGCTTCATGGTTTAAACAGTGGACAGAGCGACATGTCAGGTCACAGGGGATCTGTTACATGGATCAAGAACGCTGCAGACATGGTAATATTTTTTCACAGAATTCTTCTGTCAATGTAGTACCGTCACCCAAATAATTCTATGTTTGGACAAATTACAGTAAACGTTTAAGACTTCACGGTTCTTTGAGAAATAAATGAAAAACGTGTGAATACATTATTGTTGGGCAGCTCTGCAATATAAAATAAAGGACTTTGAAAATCTGTAGATAATGATTGTCTTTTTATCTCAACTTAATTTTGGTTGATAACATCACCTATACATTTATTTGAATTATAATATGTTGTCAAATATGTATATGACATACGTGAACTAAATGCAACTTTCAGAAGAGTTGCTTTTAAGTTGAAAATCTATTACATGGAAAAGGAACGCTACAGACAAGGTGATATTATCTTCACAAAATTCTTCTGTAAGTATGATAACGTCACATTGGTAATTTTGTGTGTGAACAAGTAAACTCACGATTTTCTGGATTCCTTGAGTGATAAATGAAACATGTGTGAATGCATTATTGCAAGCCAATCCTGCAATATGAAATAATGGACTTTGTTGGTGGTGGCTGGTGGTTATGGACTTTTTATCTGAACCTCATTCTGTTTATAACATCACACGTAGACTCAGTTTATTCATTAGATGTTGTCGATCATATATATGACATACTTGTACGAAATATACCGTTGAGAACATTTGTTTTTAAACCAGTATAAAATGTACATTTCAAACAAATGTCACCCTTCAAACACAATAATGTGTTCAAATGTCATTTATGAACATTTATCCCATTTGTTATTGTGTAGGAATCCTGCCGAGAGTGCAGGTCTTCCTGCCAGGAGGAGGAACAGTGTGTCTTCACCGGGAGAGGGGAGTTTAAATGTGTTCCAGCCAAGAGACACTTTGCTAATGAAATGCGCTTAAAATCGAAACGCATTCCTAGTAATGTGGAACTAGAATGTAAGTATTCCACCTAATTCTGTTTTACTATGGACGTACGTAAGGAGTCATTATTTTGACTCATTTTAAGTGGCTGTATTGTCATACACTAATATCTCTTGTGTGTATTTTGTAACACTGTGATTACTTTTACAGACTTAGAAAGCTGGGGACCATCAAGGGAGCAAATCTGTGGAAAACACAACGATAAATATCCTCGGAACGGTACCAATATTCCATTAGGTGATGAGAAAACCAGGGTGTATTATATGTTGGTACATGTCCTACGAAACAAAACAATCTTCAACCCCGAGATTTACTATAAGCATCAAGGGCCAAGTGCAATTGTTCCATTCTTCACTCTGAAATGCTACTCCAAATCCACCCTCATGATATTCGCGAACAAAATACGCACTACAATATATGCACCAGGAGCTTGGTCAAATCCCAATCACTATCCTTCTGACATGAACACTGACCGGCAGATGGATATAGCTGTTTTGTTTTGCCCCAGGAAGAACACACTGTCGGCCTTTGTTCTCAAAATTGGGAATCACAAGATCACGAACTTTGACTATCGGAAGACCTATGCTGACATCCTTCCTTCCTCAGTGGAAGACTTCTGCTTACGATCTTCCAGCCACGTTGCACTGGATGGCGGGTGTGGAGTTGACGTTTCGTCTAAACTACTACCTATTGAAAAATTAAGGCAGTATATTGGGATTTGGGAAAATGCCTTAAATGCGTTTCTTCATGAGAAAATATCCGGAAACAAATGAAAGGAATGGCCACATTAAATTGGGTGGCTGTTAACATTCTGTTCGGGGGAGCTAGACGGGAATTATTTGTTGCACCCTTTCCAGTTGTTATTGCATTAAGGTTCACAGACATGGCACAAAGCTAACTAACTGATATGTGCTAGAAAATAATACAGATATTCTCGGAATAAATGTTCAAAATATACGAAGATAATTATATTTGACAAAATTATGGAAGGATTGTGATATATAAAAACATTGCTGCTGAAGGGGGGGGTAGTGAAATTGAAATGTAAAGGAGGGAATTTATTCTTCTGTGTTTCGTATCCAAAAATGTATATTGGACCGTAGTCGCCGCGATCCTCTGTGAAGAGTTACGTCACTTAGTCGCACCATCATCCGCTGATCGTAGCATTGGATTTCACACATTATGACCCTTGATTCGCCAGGACAGTGCTCATGCATCAGAAGCACCCTTGTTTGGTGTTGGAAATCGGTTTTCAAGCTCAAAGAAAATTACCACATATTCCAGCCTTAATACCTATCTTCATGTGTTTCAGGAACGGAAAAATAATAAATAAACAATATCTTGCATCATAATATATTTGTGTTTGTTGACGCCGTTTCTTTTTTGATGGTGGTGTTAAAGCAATGAAGATACATCATCTAATTTGAAATATAGGACAATGTCCAGTTACAAGAATTGCAAACTTCAACTTGTAACAGAAGTATTTCTTATGGTGGTTCCTGAAATTTGCCATATTGTGGGGCAATTTGGAAAGCTGATTTTTGTCTGAGACTGTTACTTTCGTCTAAAGCAATTCATTTGTTTGCAAGTTTCCAATTCAAAAACATGCAGTCTTTGTCTAACTTAATGGAGTCTCTTTCTGCTTTGACATGGTTTGACGAATCGCTTTAAAGCAATATGAAGAAATATACTCTCTAGTCGTGGACTCTAACTGTTGCTCCATCCATCAACAAAGTTTGCTGGAGTCCCAATATTTTCATTCTATTAAGGACACAGAGTATATAGAAAGAGTTCCTATTGTTCCCGAAAGAAATATGATTTTCCTGTCTTATGATTTTCTCGGGACATTCTGTAAGACTAGATTTAGGGCTATTAGATGTGGGCTACATCTCTGCAATATCTTAACGTTCGTGCAAAGGATGGGGTGATTAACAGAAATGACAAATTGGTAGACAATTGGAAACATTATCGATGCATGTTGCTTCAGGACCATACAGCCTGTAGTGTCCTGCAGTGTGGACTCAATGTTCAGATTAAAACAGCGGTATCAAGCCATACCTGAGGGTGGCTCTGTAATTAAATGAATTACGTTAATAGTTAACATATATATCGGTACAGATCGGGGCTGCCCACCTGGCTTCACCCATGAAGATCCGGATTAGAATTGGTCTTCAGCAACCCATTCTTGTCGTAAGAGGATCGGGAGGTAAGGCTCGGTGTCTTGGTCCAGATTCGCGCCATATAGCTGGAATATTGCTGAGCGCGGCGTTAAACAACAAACAAACAAACAAACAACTCCCTGTCTTCATGCAATCTGTAAACATTATAGCAGCCACGGACAAGTGGGTCAAGCTAATGGGTCAAAGTTGGAGGTTGCGATATCGTCATTCTGAATATGTGTTACTGCTTGTGAAGAGTCATTCTTACAGTAACTAGTACATATATATGTTCACAAAAACTAAAAAGCTATATTTGAGAAATAAAATAGATGCATTGTACCTAAGTATATAGGGAAGTGTAAAGAAGGGTTGTGACGAGACATCAGAGTAGGTCAACACGAATAAGGTGGGCATCTGGGTCCAGGTGATTACTGGTATTCAGCTACATCATTATGCTCCTGGACACTTGGAAGGGGGTGAGGTGTCCTAGTGGTTAAAGTGTTCGCCCTTTACCACCAAGATCTGGGTCCTAATACTCCGCTATTGTTGAGAACACTTCATTTGTCTGTGTGACCATCTGGTGTCATCACCCCTTCTATAGTCTGAATGGTACAACGGAATCTGCTTTTAACGCAGATGTGTTTTAATCGTGGTACTATTTTCAATCTAATTTTATTTTAGTGAAATTTGTATGTTCAAATTCATTAACACTTAAACAAGGGTAGGTCGTTCGTAGTATCAGATAAAAACATATCTGTGGAACGTCTCGTCCGAAAATCATGCCAGTTTAAGTGATCTGATCTTTGGTGGCTTGAATATTGATTATAACTTCATCCTTCAATCAATGTTTTTTCCCTGCTGACCTGAAGGTAGACGTCCTTAGACGTCTAAGCAACTTTGTAAGATATTTGTGTAGCTGTGTTTTGTTATCCATTACCAGTAGTGTAAATTGTACTTGGGGGTGAATCGGACGATTGTAGACCACGCTATTCTACAGATAATGAAAACGTTACTTGTAGTACATTAAACGTTTTATCACTTAATTGCTCAACATAATGGTGTAAAGATTATGACATTGTAAAGACAAAAGATTTGTTTATATCAAAATTTCAGTGTTGCTTCCGATTATTTCATAGCGTAATTGTAAACACCTTCACAGTATTTTGAACTTCACACTATTATTTCGGAACTACCCAGGGAAACATTCCCATGCTATTCCATAGGCTGAATCAGGGTTTAGAACTGCATGGTACATCTCTATCTGTTTCGGGACTAAAACCAATGTTATATTTTAGGGTTTACACTGTGCATACAGATATCACATGACGACCTTACAACTGGTTGCATGTGTGTGATATGGTATGGGGCTGGATTGCAGTCTAGGCAGTGCATCATCTATGATCTGACATTGTGTGTCCAGGTAACCATTAACTACTAGACCCAGAAAATAAAAGGTTTTTTTTGCCTGGCCTGCCAATTTTGAGCCAAGCCTCTTTCGACTCAGTGACTTAGTTACGTCAGTATTTTAACATAACGAGTTATTTCTAGATTTCTATACTTATAACGAGGCAGAAAATTCAAGCACGAAGAAAACTATAGCGCTAACTAGCTCGGTCACGTACAAACACATGCTATTTCAGAGGCTGAACACAGATTTAAGAACTGCATGTTACATTTCTATCGTTATCGAGACTAAAATCAGGCCTACATATTAAGTGTATATACAGTGTCTACAGCCTCTCTTGGTTCAGTGTCTTAGTTAGTCAGTACTTTAACATAACGATATATTTCCACCTTTATTGAATCATTGCTATTTACGAAGCAAACAAATCAAAGTCGAAGAAGACGATAGCTCCTTCTACCTGTGTCACGTACAAACACAGTGAGTAGGTGGGCAGAAGCCGAGCGGACAGTGCAGACTGCACCAGGCATCAAGGGCTATACCATAGGTGGAGGAGCCTCGACACTCTCCTGTCGTCTGCTGGAACACGGCTGGTGGCGCAGACGGGAGGAAATCGGCCATCTTCACGGACGGCACGTGCAGGATCCCTGGAACGGGGTTCTCCATGAGGTTGACGTGACGGAGCACCGGCTTTCGTCGTTTCTTGAAGGAAGGACGACGGACCCTGAGAGGTGGTTCTATGGCTACATCAGCACAGTTCCAGAACTGCTCTTGTTGCCCACACCCTTTACAGTACATCCCTGTCTCCCAGTCCATGCCATAGCTCTGTGCTGCAAAAGGTCATACAATCTGTCATGGAGGTGAAGGTTGGGTTACTGAAATAATTGAATAATATGATGTTTCGAGTAAATATATGATGACTACCGATGCATGTGCAACTGAGTGACAAAATATCTCCAAACTTGAAATTCAATAAGGATTGGTGAGACTCATGAGATGTTAGCCATATTTGTCAAGAACCACACGCTATATACATTCAGATTCAGGGATTCAGTTAAGAATGCTGGACCTATGAGATATATACGTAGTGATTCAGTGGTATGTTAAAATGTTTTTAAATGCACTGTAATATGGTAATGTTGTTTAAAGACGTAATTACTTGTGACACACAATTTGGTCAACCAAGGTCAAGGACACTCACCACAGTTCCATCTCCACTGTAGGACACAATGGTCACAGCTTAACCCGTCTGGAAGCTGTATCTGGATCTTCTCGAGGATGGGTGACCTCAGTGTCCTCAGTTTATGTTTGTAACCCTCCCCAACCACGAACAGAGGGTGTTCTCTGAAACACATCTCTGACAGTCGGGGCCCTGGACACAGGTAGAACTGGAAGTAACCGCCATGATTGGCCGTTATGTCAATTATAACATCTATCACCTGACCGGAAATGTACTTTCTGGGTATGACGTCACTTGCGTATTTTCCTCCGCGTTCGTGTTCACGTGGACCTCTGAAGGAGTCGCCGCAGTGTCCGCATCGTCCAGCGTTCAGCAACCACTGGACCTTCAAAAAACGTAGCTTACCCGTTCAGTCTTTAGCAGATGTCGCTTTGAATTATGAGTGATAAATATGCAACTTAATGTTAACACAGTGAATGCATGAAAAAATATATACTCATGAGCATTAATTCAGCGCCACTTGAACCAAGGTCATTTTCATGATTTTTGTCCAAACAGGCCATCATACCCTTAGCACATCCTTCACAAAGTATTTCTAAAGCTATGGTTCATGTGCTGCAAAGTCACCAAGGACATTGGGGTATCAATTTCACATTTGCAGTATATGCACTATCAATTTTCTGAACTGATGTAAACAACGACAGTATAGAGACGTCGTAACGAGGCATATCACCAGGAGATGATCCATGCAGCTGGACCCTTTGGTGGTGGCTAAGTGATGGTGTGGGGTGAGTTTCGAATGACTGTAAATTGGATCTCAGTACATTACCCGGGACACGCAGTGGTCAACATTATCAACAGGAAGTACTGATACTGCCGTCGTACCACAAGTTGATAACCATCCCCTTGCCACTCGTCCAGCTATTCATAGATGACAGCCGTCATCGCCCATATGTAGTGAAACTGCCATTGATCTAGACTACTTAAAGTTTGCTAAAGATTGCATTTTCAAGTCAACATGAAATTACGATATGAAGTCATATTGGATTAAAACCCGGTACGCAATGATTGGGTAACCCCACTGGAGCCAAACTACAACATAAAGCAGGGGAAAGCATGCTGTGACGGACACTAAAGACTGGAGTAGTCGCCAGTGGTGGTTCATTCATTCTCAACCGTCATGTTAGAATTGTGTGACAATCAGATTGCTGACATGGTAACCATACTTTCTAACATTGTTGATATTTCTGTCTGTTCCTCTTCGATTTCAAGTAAACTGTTACCAAATTTCAGGGTTTTTTCCGCTTCAATCCAGGTATTATATGTTACAGTTTCCGTATGGTTTTCAAAGCATATACATGTTGTGTAAAGTGAGTGGAGCTTAATTAATGCTCATGTGTATATATGTTATTGTCACGTGTGTGTTTTTGTGTGTGTTTGAGTGTGTGTTTTGTGCGTTGTTATTCAATCTACATCTACGGTAATGTTTAGGTAACAACAAAGGCCACGGTATGTGGTCGGTTTCCTACATTGTGTTTTGAGCTTTTACGTAAATCGTATATTGCTGGCGAGTACATTTGAGCCTGGGTTTCTTTAATAAATCACTTTAATGTTATTTGTTCTGGGATAAATTATGCAAAATTGTCTTATGTTATTGGACAAACTGAAATATGTTTGCGAACTTCATTTCTAATTTACGATTGAAAAAAATGAAAGCGATATCAGTCAATCAATGTTGATATGATAATAATGAATGTTTTGAGAGTGCATCACCACTTGCACTTCCTTATGACCATAGTTGTTTGTACAGTAATCGCCCTTGAAAGATGATTGGTGCATGACGTGAAATGTGCATGTGTACGATTTTCATTTTCAAACAAAAACAAAACGGCAAGAAACAAACACTAACAGCTGTGTGATGCAAGATGATTGTCAAAGTTAATGGTTTACAGTGATTTATCGACCTTTTTGAAAACCGTCAAAATCAAGAATGACATCCCAAGCACGTGTATGGGGCTACTGCGTTGTGTTTAGGGGTGGTGATAAAGAGAAATGATAGTGCTTCATAAGATGCCTGTCTTTGAAAAGTTTGTTAACGCTTATACTTCCTGTCCAAATTGAAAGTTCAGGTCCCCTACGTTTTTTGAAGAGTTTATAACGGTAAAAGTTAATCACCTTACCTGATAGCCACCACAGTTTAACGCGTTGTCATCGTAGTTTTTGGCAACGTTGTAACCAACTCGCCACAGACTGCCTCTGTGAGGTGGTTCGATCATACGGCCATGGGCACTGACCACAACCGCCCACCACGCCAACGTCAGAATCCGCAACATCATTGCCACAATCAGGACATAAAGCTCACCCACAGCGAGCCTCGGACAGCTTCATGGGCACTTTACATCATCTGAGACGGGGCTGTTTGTTTGTCCCCGCCCGTAATGCTCTTGCATTAGGTGATTAATTAACATCACATTTACATTGTCAGGTCACCCTCCTGTGACAGTGGACTCGTCAACAAGAAATAAACACCATGCGTCGGTTTCAGTGTAAAGTAGCCCATCGACGTAGAGTGTATATCAAGATAAACAAATAACGTACGTACTTTAAACGTGACTACTTAGACTTTGATGTGTATTAACTAACTGTAAGAAAAACTGCACTTAGGAAAAACAGAACAGCCCGTTTACATTCAATTTAGGGACGGGGGCGTGATTTTAAGAGGGGTCACCAATTTTGTTCTGGCGAGCTAGGGGGTCATCAATTTTGTACACACGTACTAGGGGGTCATAATTTTTGTACATAAAAATATGCTTAAAATTATGCTTAGAAATTATGGTTAGGGGAGGGGGGTCATTGATTTTGTACATGACATGCAGGGGGGTCACTTATGTTGTACATAAATTTTAAGGGGGGTCATTCACATTGTACAAGCTTCTCCATAAAAATCATCATCACACCCCTAGCCATAAATTATGAACGGTCCCTTATCTTGATGACAGAACAATTTTACGAGAAACTTCTGTCCGAATAAACCGACGGCTATCGAGCAAGTCTTCAGCATCATGGAACAAAATTGTGTGGAATTAACAACGACTCCTTCATTCACATTCAGACGAATAGTTAAACGGGTATATTTTGAAATATTCTACATTTTAATCTGTGCTTTAGAAGTATGTTTAATTTGATAACTTTCTTTAAAATTACTCTTTTACTGTCAGGGCTATGATTTGCTCATAGTAGACAAATCAACACCAAATAATGTGATAGATATTCTCGAGATATTCTAAACTGAAGACGTGAGTACGAATGCACAAGGGCCATATTTTACGTAGATAACACGGGGGTGACTCAGAGAGTTCTCACAGTTCAACTCTTCTAGGTCTTGAATAACATTTTTAAAACAGTACGGTTGCCGGTACGTTCAGATGCTGTGATTCCCTAAATGGGTTGGAGCACTTTGCCCCTGGTGTCTAATATACTCCTCACAAAAAAATCAAGCAACAAGTATTTTCAGACTCAGAGAGTTCTCACAGTTCAACTCTTCTAGGTCTTGAATAACATTTTTAAAACAGTACGGTTGCCGGTACGTTCAGATGCTGTGATTCCCTAAATGGGTTGGAGCACTTTGCCCCTGGTGTCTAATATACTCCTCACAAAAAAATCAAGCAACAAGTATTTTCAGTGTTATATCTTTATCAATCTCGATAGCGATTTTTACCGACATGTTACTGAAAGGTAAATCTTCAAAGAATACATAACCTTTAGTAACTGTCAAATTGAAATGATTACCTAACGTCCGAGCTGTCCCACAAATGCTGACTAAACATTTTAACCATTAGATACCATGTGCTCCTTCCCCAAGTCTATACATCAGAACATAATTGCCATCAGTATTTACCATGTAAATGATGGTTAGCAAGAAAAGTGGGCGATATGTCTTGAATATAGCATGTGTCGTCGGTCATATTGGTCTTCCAGTCCGTGGCATGACTTCAATGTCGTGACCTCCGCTTGGGTCGCAATGGGTCGTGACCATGGCGTTTGACGGTGGCTGTTATCGTGCCAGTGTTCATCACGGCGGTCAGACCTTTGCGCTTTGCGACTGGAAGATGGATGGCGTGAGTGAACGGATTTGTCTTACCTTCGCCCTATGTTAAAATGTCTAGGTCAGTAGTCCCATGTAATGTTGTAGTGTCCCAGATTTCAAAGAGAAGCCTGATCTCATTTCATGGTTAGTGGCTGAAGAACGAGTTGAAAAAAGCTTACATTCATGTAACATGTCGGATGAAATGTAATGAAAGGTGCTTCTAAAATACTCGCACTCACGATTTGCACTAACTGAAAAAAAACTGTGCTTAGATGGATATGCACATACAATGTATTACTGATATTTTTCCTTTAGGGTTATTATGCCTAGCTGTGTATATATCCTCAGTGAAATAGGTTATTAACTATATATGCTTGTTCATGTTTCTTGTTTAACGCCGCACTGTAAACGCCAGTTATGTGATGGCAAAGTAGATAATCGAGTCTGGGTCAGGCAATCCTGTGATTGATCTGGTCAGCAACAATCCACGCTATTGTCCAAGTCGCCGAGTCTAGTGGTCATCGAGTCTGACCACCGGAATCATTAATTAATCGCCCGTTACCACCAGCATAGGTTGCTGTCCAACAATTCCACTCCGGAGTCCTGACTGGGATTCTTGTCACATCGGATTCCGACAAACAACTGCCAAACACACACGTTGGTAATACACGCTAGATCAACATTTACACACTCATTGTACACATGGAATACTGAAATACTTAATACATGTTAAATGAACTAAACTTACCCGTCATTGGTTGTGTAATCTGATCAAATTAATCATACAAATCATGCAAGATTTTCAGATTCTTACATTCTGTGTGTGTTGTTAAAGAAGATTTGATTTTTGTTACAATAAGTAGTTGTGTTTTCTCCTGCCTCATGTATTAGTTGGATGTGATGTAAACTCAGCCTTAAAACAACAAGTCTTAAAGTTTCGTAAGAAAACAAACATGTATATAATAAAGCATACTGTTTAAAATCAGACACTTGTAATACTGAACTAGCTCTATTAATACTTTGGTGTGCATATATTTTTGGTTCAAGGCCATGTATTGAATCCATAAAACTGAATACAAGAAAAGAAACTTAGTTGTTATTGCTGAGGCGCTGTATTTCATCTCAGGGTGTCTGTTTATAATGTAATCAGGTACATGAAAAGTTGGAAAATAACGTATAGATGACTGATGGAAGGATAACAGGCCAACACAATGTAACCTTAATCCTTCAAGGATTTCATAAGTTGCCCCAAGCAAATACATTTTATTTTATCAGCAAAATACACAACACGAGCCGTTCATGGCTATGTAAAGCCATGTTGATGCTAGAGATAAGCTGCGTATTAGTTCATAAAATAGTATTCATGCCTTCAGCTAAAATTTTTGCATAATTAAAGTTGTCTGAGAATCTTTTATTAATACAACTACAAACAGATGAATTCGTTAAATGACATTTTTTATCAATCTAAATGTTTAGATTGGATAACAAAAATGGCTGAAAAACAGTTTTACTTTCGGGTAATAGAGAAAGATATTTTTCTATCTTTCAGTGTATTTTAACCTGTAAGGCTTGAAGGGACAGATCACTGGGGCAGTAGGTACAGGGTAGAGGAGATTCTCGGTGGTATATTGTCCTGTATACAGCGAAGGTCACAGACAAAGCAGGTAAAGTTAGCAACGTTGGGCGGGAGAGTAGGTGGACGGGTGATCGTATTCGGCAGCTTAACTCTGAAGTTCCAGGGTATATGTCGTCCACTTGGGCAAGTGAGTTTGTTCGAAATATGCCTCTTCTTGCGTTGATTTCCAAGTTGAAACAATAAGTAAGCCAGAACTATGTACTGACCTTTTGTGTGAAACCAACAAACAACAAAGACATACTGTACAATTAACAGCGTATCCAGTATTTTATAAGAGCAATAAATACAGTGACGATAATATTCACCTCTCTGGAACTGATGTCAAGCTCCCGAAACTGACCATGGCTGACAAAACGGATGAAAAATGGAGCACCACACAATGCTTGTTATGGGATGTGATGAGTAATGTGTAAGATGTGTGAGATGACAGAGGCAAGAGTGTGCCCGATATATAAATATACAAAGCATCCAGATATTCTCTTCTGGAACATTCTGTAACATGCTGGATATGTCACTCTGACTACTCTGGTATGTTCGACCGTTAGGGGGCGGTGGGGTAGCCTAGTGGTTAAAGCGTTGACTCGTCACGCCGAAGACCCGGGTTCGATTCCCCATATGGGCACAATGTGTGAAGCCCATTTCTGGTGTTCCCCGCCGTGATATTGCTGGAATATTGCTAAAAGCGGCGTAAAACTAAACCCAGTCAGTCAGTCAGTCAGGGACTGCTTAAGAAGCTTCCAGACCGGTCTAAATATAACTATCTAGAACATTACTGCCCTTTACAGAACCTTGACAAAAACAGTTAACCTAGCGCACCATATGCAGCTTGTGTTTAATTCTTCCCAAGGAGTTCAGCATGAAATTCGAACTGTGTTTAAAAACGAGTACGCTTTTGGCTATTGATATGGCGCAAGATGATAATTATTACCACCACCACCATCTGATTAAAATATATAAATGCAGCAATTGGTTTCAGTCAGGTTGGTTAGACCCTTGCCCCTTCTACACGAGATAGCAAATGGGACCTCTGTCATAAGGGGGGAGGGGCACTCACATTGTACATGCTTCTCCATAAAAATAATCTTCACCTCCCTCAGCCATAAATTATGAACAGTCCCTAAAATAAATGCAGCGGTCGAGTCTTCTCTTGAGAAACTCAACCTGGGCAGATCTGATATGGCTCGTCGCTTGGTTGATACTTATCTCTGGACATCGGTCCACCAGTACAGAACCTTCGACAAAATCAACACTGATACAAGGATTGTGTCCAACACAAGAGATCAGGAGATACAAGACCAAGGGCACCAATAACAATGGAGAGCCTGACGACAGGGTACGTGGGATGCAAGCGAAACATTACAAAGAAGAGGTCCGCATATTTATCATGCCCAGACAGCGAATTTCTCCTGAATCTTGCCAATCACATTGCTGTCAAAACGGACAGAAAATTTCCTATTATTGTACTTACAGATGGTTTCCTATTATTATTATCATCATCATTATTATTATTATTATTAGCAGTATTGCATGTGCAGATGCAGTCCCACCTATAGCCGTGACGTATCACATATCTATCTTAAAGTGAACAAACTTTGAATTACAGAATACATTAATCTAAAATGTTGATATATTATATCAAAAGTCTTTCGTTCTAACTCTCGTCCTAAGTAAGTCATTAATTCTATTTTCAGCATACAATTTCATATCTAATCGTAACAAGGTCATAGCTGTTCCCACGTGAAGATAGTTCATGTAGCCCGAGGTGCGGACTGAAATGTCAAGATGTCAGACTCCGTTCAGGGGACAGTTTTTAAGAAAATGATTCGGTATAAGTCAGTTGCATCTTTTTTCCCCTTGGGACATTAAAATATAACCAACTCCAAAGGGTTGTCAGATGAGATTATCAAGCGACGATTTGACTAGTTTGAATTCTATGAGAACAAATGACTGACTGTATGTTGGTGCTGTCATGTCTCAGATCTCAAGAGATAACTTTGATTTGAATAATATTCTGAGAAGATGAAAGAAAGCGTTTCTCTGTGATTCTCCTTTCTCATGGCCGATCATGACTTGAATAATTGGGGACCATAATACCAGAGGAAGTTAATTCTTACAAATAGTTTACATCAATGCGACCCCAAACGTTTTTTGGCCCATTTCTGGTGTCCCCCGCCGTAATATGGCTGGAATATTGCTAAAGGCGACGTTAAACCCAATTCACTTACTCCACACACGCGTTTTGACTAAGAACTGCAATATACTTGTCCCGTATAGTTCTTATTCGGTGTGTTCACAGACAATTCTGCAAGTTTCTATCTTCATATGAATTATCCTGTAGCATCATATGGGAATGTGGAAGAAATACGAAACTCACTCACATGCTATCAAATGATGAAAAATATGATGGGATAGAACAAAGAAAAGAGAGAGAGAGAGAGAGAGAGAGAGAGAGAGAGAGAGAGAGAGAGAGAGAGAGAGAGAGAGAGAGAGAGAGAGAGAGAGAGAGAGAGAGAGAGAGAGAGAGAGAGAGATTCACCTAATCGCAATCACACTCAATAACTAACCCACTGAGCCAGCGCAACTCCAACGATACTGGGAAGCTGGTAGTCTGGATCGCGAACTTTGTGTACTCATCTGACAAGTGAAAATCGGCAATGAAAGCTACCAATATGCAATACCATTTAGAAAGTGCAATATTTATAAGATTCGGGCACACGATATCATTTACAATACCATTTCCTAATTGCTATGGAAATATTATCTGTCCTCGGTCCACTTCTATGTACTTTATACATTCTGCCCATCGGACTTATTATCAAGAATCATTCTTTGAACTTCCGGGCGGTGGGGTTGCCTAGTGGTTAAAGCGCATGGGTGCTATGTGTGAAGCCCATTTCTGGTGTCCCAACATGATATTGCTGGAATATTACTAAAAGCTGCGTAAAACTAAACTCACTCACTTTTAACTCCCACCTCTGTGCTGATGATATTTCCTTCAAAACCCGACATCAACCTCGATCAACATCGCAGTGCATTGATGACATACGGCACTGGATGAGTCTGAATTACCTCAAGTTTGTATTCTCGGGTCGAGGTAACAACTCGCATTGTTTTCGCATTGGCAAAACTACTCATCAATCCTCTAAAAAATGATTAAATCAGTGATTTTTAACTAAATGTCTTTCAAGGAGTAGAAATTATATTTTATCCGTGGTAGCTATTGATTATCAGTAGATGAGTTGTCTGTTTGAAATCCATAGCTCTCTCCGCGCTCGTCATCGCCCGCATCGTTCCATAGCCTACAGGCCAGTTCCGGCAGGAAGAAGTTGGATCCGAATGCTCATGAAGATGACGAGTGAAACCCGGAAGTAATCACCGGGAAATAAACTTCCTGACACATAGATACGTTCACATGAACTGTCAACAAATGCAGTTAATATTAAATCCAGTAATATTTTGGAGAGAATTTTAGCCAGCGCATAGAAAACCGAATTTCTTATTTTTGTCTTCTGTCCCCCCCCCCCCACAGGCCTGTTCGCGCGTTGTTTAGTTAGGATGATCCGATATTGATATCCGTAATTCTCCGGTGTTCTATGACTTGTCTTTTATATACAACCATCAGGTATCGTAAATCATTGTCAGCACGAAATCGTTGGTTGAATAATGAAGAGCCAGTTTAAAGGAACGGTCCTGTCTACAACAGTCATTATGCTGATAATAGATATATCCAGATCTCTTGCTGACCATTTTCCACAAACCTTAAAGGGGAATTGTGCTGTATTAGAAAATGAAAATGAATAGAAAATCCATGCATTGTGTTAATTAAAGAAACTTGCATCAGTCCTTTGAAAATTATATATTATATATATTATATATATATATATATATATATAAGAAGAAGAAGTTTCTGAAATAATCACACGACACGGACAAACATGTTTCACTTTTATCTTCAGGGAGAAGACCCTGAACATAAAAGTGAAACATGTTGGAGAAGATCCGTGTCGTGTGATTATTTCAGAAACTTCTTCTTATATATGTACTACTGTACGCTCGGTATTCTCATCACTTTCTATATATATATTTATATAATTTTATTTAAAAACCATAAATGTAATACTATACTGTACGCTCAGTATTCTCATCACTTTCTATATATATATTTATATAATTATATTTATAAAACCATAAATGTAATACTATATTTGTCTTTATTGTCTAATTATGGATTAATGTTAACGATCAGTGGAAAGGTATCATACGTTGACAGTAAGATACTCGTCGTTCTTGTATATCTGACACTGTAAAAGGTATACATTGTATATGACACCGACACAGCCATGATGTAGGATCTGCAGTTATAGTTTCCTGTATCAGGAGTTGAGGCAGTTCAGAAACGTTGACGAAATGGACAACACAACATTTATTATAATTACACCAATGTTAATAGCTGAATACAGATACTGGTCCGAACGTTTTAATCCCACTTGGTACAATCGTGGAAGACTAATACATTTTTTCCTCACACTTAAACAACTTTCGGTGTTCACGTTCAACTATCGACAATGTGCTTGAGAGTACTGTTTGGTGTGTAATGCGTGGGAATATGGCTGGAAGGGTAGGTTAATGACTTTACGGCGCAATACTGTTGATGGGAAGGTAGGCGAACTATGGAGAATATCTTTTCCGTGCATCATACTTTTATTTCACCGGAAATTTGGCTCCGGGGTAGTGTCAGGTGGTTTACCTTCGGAGATCTGTATTGTAAAGTAAAGCTAATCTAAACGGAACACTTCTGTCAGGGAAATACCACCAGTTTTTTGTGTACGTTTTGAGTGAGTGAGTGAATGAGTGAGTTTAGTTTTACGCCGCACTCAGCAATATCCCAGCTATATGGCGGCGGTCCGTAAATAATCGAGGCTGGACCAGACAATCCAGTGAGCAACAGCATGAGCATCGATCTGCGCAAATTGGGAACCGGTTGTACTGTTTGAATGGTAGAGTAACATCTGAAGTAACTGATTCAGTTATAGAGATATCGACAATAGTTGGTTCTCCAAATACGTCCCCAACCGCAATTCGGACCAGGTACACTCCTCTACCGTCTTGCATATTCTCATTCCCAAATAAAGATATAACAACACAGTGAGCGAAAACCGTGAGTTATATTCGATTTATTGTCATATGTACAGTATTTGTATATATGTAGCAGGTTGATATTGGCCAATGGGTCAGAACAAACAAGAAATCAATATCAAACAACGTAGATATACGAGAGCCCAGTGTTAAGGACACAGTTTCAGCTGGTAGCGTATGAACATGTCTAGATCGTCTGACTTGGTTCCCTGGCATAGTCCCTGGATATGTGGTATCAGCCCATGGGCCAGTTTCCAGCTCCAGATCCACTTGAGGCTGCAGTCGCACGGAATGGAGTTCTTGTAGAGCTCCACGTAGCGGACGTTGGGGGTGTATTCTATAGCCTTGGGCACCGTGGTGAAGCCGCAGTCGTTGAGGTAGAGCATGTCGAGGGTCGTGAGGCCAGTGAAGGAGACAAGAGACATGTTGGTGAACTTGTTGCCCGAGAGAGACAGTCGCTTGAGATCCTTGAGAACAGGGACGCTGGTCTCCTCCAAGATGGTGATGTTATTGTTGGAGAGATCCACGTTGTACAAGGATGGGAGACCCAGCAAAGATGCACCGGGGAAGAAGCGGAGACCACAGTTGGAGACGTATAGGCGTTGTAAGCTGGCCATTCCGTTAAAGGCCGCGTGTTTAATGTTGATAATGGGGTTGTTGTTGAGGACAAGGGTCTCGACCGATGGTAAATGACTGAAGGCGTAGTTTTCAAGGATTTCTAGGTTATTGGAAGTCAGATTCAGCAGTTTAAGATTAGTCAGTCGTGCTAACGCCGGTGGGATGGTGTGGAGTTTGCAATGGTCGAAGAAGAGATTTGTAAGGGTGTGGCCGATGCCGGAGAAGACGCCGGTGGAGTTGGGTGCGATGATCGGGTTGTTGCTGAGATAGAGGGTAGTAAGGGCACGGGTGTGTTTGAGTTCATCTGGAATGTCAGTCAGGTCGGTGTTTGAGAGGTTTAGGATCTGAAGTGTCTGTCTGATTCTGTAGTAGAAAATGGCGTGTGTGACGCCACCTAGGTGGTTGTCGCCGAGATACAGCTCACGGAGACTGGAAAGTTTCCCTATTGCATCCGGGAACGTAGTTAGGCCACAGCCATTCAGACCCAGCACTTCAAGTGATGTTGCGAATACATCAAGAGCTTCCTTCGGAACTGTATTGATCAGGTTACCGGACAAGTCCACGGACTTCAGGTATCTCAGCTTATTGACAGCATTTGGCCACTGTGTAAGCTTAGAGTTATGGAGGTCCAAATATTGTAGGGGATACCCAATGGCAGCAAACAATGAACTATCAATTGTCGCAATATAAGTATTTCCTGCATTAAGCCTCGTCAGTCGTCTGAGTTTTCCCAGCGAGGACGGAAGTGACGTAATTGATGTGTGCGCCACTATCAACTGCTGCAGGATGTCTTCCTGTCCCAAGAATGCATCTTCATCCATGTTGAGAATAAGAGGGTTGCCTGTGAGGTCTAGAGTTGTCATGTTGACTCCTACGAAGGCTCGTGCTGGGATGTAGTCGAGGTGGTTGTAGGACAGATCGAATATGGCGAAGTGTCGTGGTGATGAGGTAAAGGTGGGGAGAAGGGTGAGAAAGCGGCTGTCACAATGGATGACTGTGCCACAGAAACAGGGGTTAGGGACAGGACACGGCCCCGGCATGATGAGCCCAGTCGCGGACCCCAGGATCAGCACCAGGAGGATGAACAGATTCAGCATCTGAAACAACATTGAACTACGTTGTTTTAACATAAGCACATGAGTAGTTATAAGCATCACCTGAATCCAAGTGGATACCCTCCCATACTGGACTGCACATCTAAAACACGTGTTTCACACAATATCTCAAAAGCTATGGGTTTCACGTTGCGAAGGCTCCAGGCACATTGGGATAAACATTTCATAACTGCAATATATGCCTTACAATTTTCTGAACTATTATAAAGACAAAAGTAAAAATATTCTTGTCATGACATGTAAAGAAAATAAGTTATTGGTATTCATGAGGCCGGAATGTCCTGTCACAAGATCGGTGCTAACTTGAACATTAACAACACGGTTATAGTCGGCTTGTGGGCAAGCACGTGGCCACAGGTGAAGTAAAGGGTCGTCCAAGACCTGAGAGACCAAGGAAGACAAATGATCGTGAAGACCGAATTCCATGACCTATGCCGAAGAACTGCAGAGAAAGAGAGTCCGACTCTCCACCAGTACATCAGAAGGAGGCTGCAGGCTGCTGCTCTGAAAGCACGTCGTCCCATCAAACTTCACCTGACAGACACAGGTAGGAAAGTCTGGCGTGGTGCAGGCTCAGAGAAAACCGCAACTTTAGGACAAGACAAAGGGTTCACTGGTCTGATGCATGTCGCTACCGATGGAGACGTCCTCACGAGACATTTTAACAGCCCATGATGATCCATGAGATGCTCCATGCAGCTGACCCCTTTAGTGGTGTCTCTGTCATGGTGTGGGATTACGTTGCGTTTGACTGCAAGTTGGATCTAATTACACTTCAGTATTGTTTGCCTTCATTTCAATCAAAGTAAAATATGACACGGTTACCATTTTCATACGCAGAATTTGGTTTTCGAAGCATGCACAACACCATGTAGTGTTTTCCGCTTATACAGCTTTGAAAACGCTCCTATTCAAAGCCAAGAGGGCACCTGTTCTCGAAGGCCTGGTATCATCACAGTTTGTATAAGACCCCATTACGTCTCGCGGCTCTCAGTGATGCAGCTGTGTAGGATATCACTGATGACAGATACACGTGCAGGTCACGATGAATACTAATGTAGTGAGCTCCTTATTTCCTCTGGAGAATTATGCCACAAGCCATATTCTGCAGCAACAACATGCTATAACGCCGCGCCCATTAGGAAGGGTAGTTGTGGGATTAATGGAATAAAGTAACTGTGCATTATTCGATGTTTTGCCAAGATGCACAAGATAATAAGTTAAACATGATTTGTGGTGTTTTACTGAATCGCCGTTTAACTGTTGACAGGATAATATCGAAATCTAACACGACCTTGGACCGCCTCCGTGGTGTAGTGGTTAGAGCGTCCGCCCGGAGAACGGAAGGTCGCGGGTTCGATCCCTGACCGCGTCATACCAAAAGACGGTAAAATATGGTACCTGTTGGTCCTTGCCTGGCGCTCGGCATTAATGGGTACAACAAGGACTGGTCGGCTCGGAGTCAGTATAATGTGTCTGAGTGGGGTATTCATGCTTCACTGCGGCGTGGTATCTCAGTGGGCTAGCACTATAAAACCAGCATAAGTCTGGGCTAGTACAAGCAGCCGCACATACACACACGCGCGCATGCACGTCGTCATATGAGCGAAATAATCCAAGCACGACGTTAAACCCAATTTCACCACCACCGTAACACGACCTTGAAGAGATGTGGTGTCAAAAGTCAGTTCACAAATTCAGTATCGTGTGTGGCCACAATTTGCGTTGATGCAAGCTTGACAACGACGACGCATAGACGAAACTAAGCGATTGAAGTAACCTTGGGGAATGCTGTTCCATGCCTGTCCCTATTCAGCTAACGTCAATGGCTGATTCTGGGCTTGACGTAAAAGTCTCCCCATAATATAACGCTCTGACACCAAACTGTCGACGTTGAACAACGCACGCATCTGCATACCGTTCCCCTCGCCGTCTGTACACCCTTGCTCTGCTATCTGAGCTGTCCAGATGAAATTCCGACTCGTCAGTGAAAAAAACACCATCCCAATCTTGTCTCCTGTACCACAGATGATGTCTGCACCAGGCGAGACGTGTCTGTCGGTGACGTTGGAGCAAAATTGGCCGTATTGCAGGCCGTTGGGGCCGGATGTTGTGCTCCCTCAGTCGGTTCCGTATAGTCCTGATTGGAATGGTCCGAGCAGTCAAACTGGCAGTCTGGAATCGATTCCTTAGATGGGTCAGCCGAACGTGGTTCTCTTGCCGACGTGACGTCACGCGTGGACGGCGCGGTCTGAGGCAATGTCTTGTTTTCCCATTATGTTATGCACAGTTACTTTATTCCGTTAGTATATCATAACTAGCAATGTTTCTGACACTGTTCCAGAAAGTGGTGTTCATCAATATTTTACGGCAAAGGTTGCAGAGACCAGAGGTCAAGACGGGTTTGGTTCCTTACCCATCGTCTCTAGTTGGAAACGCTAAGATCAGACATAAGGTCATATATTCACCAATCCCCAAAGACAGTATGTGTCGTCAAGTCTTTTGTCGACGAGATATATTTCCGGCGAATGCGTAAAACACGGGCAAGTGAAAGCACCGAATAAGCGAGGGTAGGGACCGCACCAGACCGTACAAAAATATTTACTTCCTATGATACAGTTAAATTGCTATTTGAGAAAATATATAATATCAATATGTGGATTGTGAAAAATACAAATATTCATTGGGATGTGTGTACCCAGATAAGAAAAATATATGGATAGATTACTCATATTGAAAGATTTCAGTATCAAAAACACTCATTTAGCAGTTTCGAAAAATCATTCTATTATAAAGAAAAATATGTACTTCGTAGACTTGTCAAGTGATTTGAAGACAACGTACCTTCACGTCCAGCCTTCCTACATACGTCACAACATGTGTTATATCTGGATTTTCTCTCACCATAGGTCACAGAGAACTTTGCCAGGCAGTAGATTTTTCTTGGCCAAACAATGACGACATAACCGTGCTACATTAGGTGTTTCAACTCTGGTAATATCTTCATGAAATAAACATAATATATGAATGTTAATTATTTTAATTACCCATTTTAATTAACCCATCCTGTACTGACGTTCTTCATTAACTACACAAGTTGCATGTATGGTCTGTGGTTTACATTACACAGTAAACTACGGTTATATCGAACTCAAAGGGACCATTCATTTTAGTCTATTATTTGGATTTCGACTCAAATATGCAACAAGTGACCTGGGCTCAAGACTGGTTCGTTATACCCGTCAGTTCGTTATATCCATCAGTTCGTTATATCCGTCAGTTCGTTATATCATCAGTTCGTTATATCCATCAGTTCGTTATATACGTCAGTTCGTTATATCATCAGTTCGTTATACCCGTCAGTTCGTTATATCCATCTGTTCGTTATATCCGTCAGTTCGTTATATCGTCAGTTCGTTATATCCGTCAGTTCACTATAAGCGTGTTCGTTATAAACGGACTATTCTATCTTCTACTGTATGATCGCGATCAGGAAACAAACACTGTGCGCGTATGCATCCATGCATATTGGATTGCATACCTCATGCTTATGAAGCGCGTGTTTCCATGACAGCCACACTAGTGGTCTGTAATTTTGAAGTACTGATAATGTTGTAAGATCTATATGTGTATGGAGCAGGATAAACAGGCATCCATTTCACATGAAGGTGGAGGTGGACACCAAATTTCATTACTATAATTATTATGTTCGTTGTGCACGAAGTCTGAAATACATGTAGATCCATTCACTCACTCAGTCACTCACTCACTCACTCACACACTCACTCACTCACTCACTCACTCACTCACTCACTCACTAACTCACACACTCACTCACTCACACTCATATAAGCATCGAAACCTTGGGAGTCAGGTTGGTGATCACCTCCGGCTCCGGCTCTTGGGGCGTCCTGTCACCATATAGACGTTGGGCCAGGAAATGGCCAAAAGACACAGAGTTATATCAATTATATATTAAAAAACATATAACTGTTTCAATGACCGTAATTTGAAAAGACATTCTATTGTGCGTCCTTATAAAGTGGTAGCTAGGTATATTATCAAGGAAAAGATGACGTTCAAGTTATGAAGAAACCACGACTCTCTATTCTCTTTACTGTTGCAGTACGCAGATTTGTCTGTAAAATACTTTATTAAAACACACAGGCATTTGCTTTGATTTATTGAAATATATACGAAAGTGTATTAAAATACAAATATCACACTATGAATTAGCATGTACATGTAAGACCTATTACCAAAAATCATGTTAAGGAGTAGGGTTTAGGCATATCAATCAACCACCAATCAAGACATAAATAACTCCAGTAAACAAACATCATCGCTGCTATGGAAACGCTGTCTTCGTTGCTATGTAAACCCCATGTTCGCTGCTATGTAAACCCCATGTTCGCTGCTATGTAAACCCCATGTTTGCTGGTATGTTAACCCCATGTTTGCTGGTATGTAAACCCCATGTTCGATGCTATGTAAACCCCATGTTCGCTGTTATGTAAACCCTATCTTCGTTGCTATGTAAACCCCATGTTCGCTGTTATCTAAAACTTATGTTTACTGCTATGTAAACCCATGTTCACTGCTATGTAAACCCATGTTTGCTGCTATGTAAACCCATGTTTGCTGCTATCTAAACCCATGTTTGCTGCTATCTAAACCTTATGTTCGCTGCTGTTTAAATCTTATGTTCGCTGCTATGTAAACCCTATCTTCGTTGCTATGTAAACCCCATGTTCGCTGCTATGTAAACCCTATATTCCTTGCTATGTAAACCCCATGTTCGCTGCTATCTAAAACTTATGTTCGCTGCTATGTAAACCTATGTTTGCTGCTATCTAAACCTTATGTTCGCTGCTGTTTAAATCTTATGTTCGCTGCTATGTAAACCCTATGTTCGCTGCTATTAAACCCCCATTTTCGCCGCTATGTAAACCTTATGTTCACTGCTATGTAAACCCTATGTTCGCTGCTATTTAACCCCCATTTTCGCTGCTATGTAAACCTATGTTCACTGCTATTTAAACCTTATGTTCACTGCTATTTAAACCTTATGTTCGCTGCTATTTAACCCCCATTTTCGCTGCTATTTAAACCTTATGTTCACTGCTATTTAAACCCTATGTTCACTGCTATTTAAACCTTATGTTCACTGCTATTTAAACCTTATGTTCGCTGCTATGTAAACCCAACCATGTTCACTGCTATGTAAACCCATGTTCGCTGCTATTTAACCCCCATTTTCACTGCTATGTAAACCTTATGTTCGCTGCTATTGAAACCTTATGTTCACTGCTATTTAAACCTTATGTTCACTCCTATGTAAACCCTTATGTTCACTGCTATGTAAACCTTATGTTCGCTGCTATTTAAACCTTATGTTCACTGCTATTTAAACCTTATGTTCACTGCTATGTAAACCCATGTTCGCTGCTATTTAAACCTTATGTTCGCTGCTATTTAAACCCTATGTTCGCTGCTATTTAAACCTTATGTTCACTGCTATTTAAACCTTATGTTCACTGCTATTTAAACCTTATGTTCGCTGCTATGTAAACCTTATGTTCACTGCTATTTAAACCTTATGTTCACTGCTATTTAAACCCTATGTTTGCTGCTATGTAAATCCCATGTCCGCTGGTATTTCAACCATTTCGTTGCTATGTAAACCTGATGTTTGTTGCTATGTAAATCCTATGTTCGCGCTGCTATGTTAACTCTATCAAACTACATGTTCAATCCATAACCATCTTTATGTACCCATAAAGGTCAGGGCCCAGATTTTCGAGGCTCTCTTAGCACTAAAGATAGTCGTAAGTTAATGTTAATGTATGGCACTTACGGCTATCTTAGCACTAAGAGAGCTTTGAAAATCTAGGCCCTGGTTTATAGGTGGTCTTATGTTTGTCGTAAGACGCGACCAAAGGGGTTAGGTGATCACACCTGCTGACTTCATTGTGTGTCAGCGTATGCTGGATGCATAGATTGGTGCTCTTGATGTCAGTCACTTGCTTGTCTGGACCAGACAATCAAGACCGCTGTCACATAGCTTGTTGTTACAAACAAACATGTCAATTGAGGACTTAACCAAGTAACGCGGCCAGAGGTATCTTAATATGATCAAACATCATGTCTATACGTGGTGACATTCTTGTGCGAAGTCATGGCTTGAAATACGACACACCCACGGGCTATCAGTTAACCGGGGTAATAATGTGCTCTACTATTGATTGTTAGCGCTATGAGCATACCTGGTGTGGGGATTGGCGCTATATAAATGGACACATTATGAATATTATTATTATTATTATCATCATTATAAATGAAGAGATCTGATTGTTTCTGAAGCAATAGAGCAATCGTAGGTTTTCAAGGAAAGATGCATCAACCCAAATACTATAACCCGAATCCCTACTGATATGTATGTCCTAGGGTAGTTAGGTATATTGATTGGTGGTGGTGATAGTTGCTTAGTAGCCTCATGATTTGGACATACACCAGTTTCGAAAAGAAACGCCCTAGCCACAGGTGTACACCAATTTTTTAAAAGAAACGTCCTAGCCACAGGTGTACATCAGTTTTTAAAAGAAACGTCCTAGCCACAGGTGTACATCAGTTTTTAAAAGAAACATCCTAGCCACAGGTGTACATCACTTTTCTAAAAGAAACGTCCTAGCCACAGGTGTACACCAGTTTTAAAAGAAACGTCCTAGCCACAGGTGTACATGTTTTTAAAGGAAATGTCCTAGCCACAGGTGTACACCAGTTTTAAAAGAAACGTCCTAGCCACAGGTGTACACCAGTTTTTAAAAGAAACGTCATAGTTACAGGTGTACATCAGTTTTTTAAAGAAACGTCCTAGCTACAGGTGTACACCAGTTTTAAAAGGAAATGTCCTAGCCACAGGTGTACAGCAGTTTTAAAAGAAACGTCCTAGCCACAGGTGTACATCAGTTTTTAAAAGAAACATCCTAGCCACAGGTGTACATCCCTTTTCTAAAAGAAACGTCCTAGCCACAGGTGTACACCAGTTTTAAAAGAAACGTCCTAGCCACAGGTTTACATGTTTTTAAAGGAAATGTCCTAGCCACAGGTGTACACCAGTTTTAAAAGAAACGTCCTAGCCACAGGTGTACATCAGTTTTTAAAAGAAACGTCCTAGCCACAGGTGTACCCAAGTTTTAAAAGAAACGTCCTAGCCACAGGTGTACATAAGGTTTTAAAAGAAACGTCCTAGCCACAGGTGTACACCAGTGTTTAAAAGAAACGTCATAGCTACAGGTGTACATCAGTTTTTTAAAAGAAACGTCCTAGCTACAGGTGTACACCAGTTTTAAAAGGAAATGTCCTAGCCACAGGTGTACATCAGTTTTAAAAGAAACGTCCTAGCCACAGGTGTTCACCAGTTTTTAAAAGAAACGTCATAGCTACAGGTGTACACCAGTTTTTTAAAGAAACGTCCTAGCTACAGGTGTACACCAGTTTTAAAAGAAATGTCCTAAA